AAAACATTATTTCTGACTTAATCACTTATAAAAGTATATTTTCCTAATTAAGTACACACGTTTTTATTTAAACCTCTTACATTGTTCAATCTCGTAGTAATTTGAGCATCATAATGTTTGTTTGTTAGTATTTCACCCCATATTTTAAAAAACTTTAGTCGTCAACTCAGGTCTAGTTCAGGTCATTTTCAATCTCTGTGAGAAATCGGGATTAGCATGCATAGGTGGCAAGGCTAGTCTTAGGGTAAATGACATTACTTAACCTAGAAGAAAATAAGTGTGTTAAGTGAGTCTGGTTGGTGTGCTTAGCGAGCCTACCTTTCCTAACCCTATATGTAATACCCCATATTAATTCCAAATGTCTAATGTTCATAATTAATAATAATTATGATAGGATGATAAATTGGGACTTTTGGCTTAGTTAGAAATTAAGCTAAGGAGGGGGTATTTTAGTCATTTCCCATGGAGCTATATAAGTCTTAGAGATGAATTTTCCTTACAATTTAACCTTGTTTCTCTTACTAAAATGCATAAATTTAGAGTCTTGAGAGATGGAGGAAAGAAGCGTAAAAGAGGAAAAAGAAATAGACAAGTGAAATAGTTTTTGCTTGCACCATTGATGGACTTGATCATCACCTCTTCACCTTCAATTTTGATTTATAGATTCTAATCTAGTGGGGTTCTTATATTAGAGGGAGTTTTCCACAAATGATTTTGGGGATTCTTACATGTGGGAAGAAATTAGGGTTTTTATGAGTTTTCCAAAATGCATGTTTGAATGTGTTGTTGTTTGTCCTATGTATGCTAATTCATTTTATACTATGTCAAAAACATGTTGCATGATATGATTTATTCATATTGTTATTCTAAACTGAGTTGCATAATCGAGATGTAGAGATATCATGAAAAAATTAGGGTTGTTTTGGTGTAGGAACACATAATCACGTTGAATGAGAGAAGAGTACCTGCGATGTGATTGAAGTATAAGTATAATTTTAAATATTTGTTTGTATGTTGTTGTTATTATTTGTATATTTTAATTTTTGTATTGTATTGAGTTGTTTTTATGATGAAGAAATTGAAATCAATCGGTGTACTCAACCACCAAAATTCAGATCAGTTGTACATGCCTGATAAAGTAGTTGAGAAAGTTATTATGGGTGGTACAAGTACGAATGATAGTTATTCTGCCTCAACTCATAATATTGAGATTACACCACCTCAACTAGATAAAACTCAAAGACTATCTAGTATGATAGACGAGATTCCAAATGTTTGGGAGTTTAAATTAAAATATGAATCAACACAAGAATATATGCTTCATTAGAGTTGTATAGTAGAATTGTTGAAGGGGTATAATTGGCTAGACAGACCTGTAATATAATTATGGTGTTCGTAAGTATAATTTTACAGTAATTTCAATTTATATTCATTGTTCTCATAGTTTAACATAAATTTTTGACATTTGCATTAACTTTTAATTAGGTTCTTGCATGAGATGTGTATTGAAAGAAAATTAAAAAAGTATTCTTTCATAGATCCATTGAACATTCAATTTCAAGGTAATTCAACAAACACTATCATTATGCACATACAAAATAAGTTGGCTAAGAAGAATAAAGATTGTTACATGGCGCCATTTATCCATAAGTAAGTATAAGCTTTAATTTGTGTTTTTATTTAGAAATCAATTTTATACACATTTTAATTATTTTTTGTGTTTTTGTAGGGAACATTGGCAACTAATTATTTTATGTCCGAAGCAAAATACTATAGTTATGTTATGATCATATTACACTATCATATTAATGAAGATATGCAAAAGGTTTTGAGCATGTAAGTGGTATTATTTGTAGTACTCAAATATTACCTTTAGTTTTGAATAGTTTTTATTCATTTGAATTATTCATATTTAATATTTATCGACATGTACAGCTATGGTGGGATACAATTTTGTGAAATGTAATTTACAAGGTAGAAAACCAAAGTTCATAAAACCACGTGTAAGTATTACTTGTGCTTTTTGACATTCTTTTATTTTCGCTAATGTATTACTTGTGCTTGGTGTGTATAAATTAGAACTACATGAAAATCATGCGTAGTTGCATAAATAACCCAATGACTATGATTGTGGATACTATGTGATGAGACATATGTTTAACATTTTCTCTAGAGGCGTTATCAATTCATGGACTAAGGTATGAACAATCCATATACATGTAATTCATGTATATTTGTTAAGTTAACGTTGTTGTTGTTAGCTTGTCATAATTTAAATTTTGTTCAAATCATAGAGGTTAATGTTGTTGTTGTTAGCTAATCATAATTTAAATTTTATTCAAATCATAGAGACATTAATGTTGTTGTTGTGGTTGTTAGCGACGAAACATCATTCACACGAGAAGATATAGTTGACATCCGATCATGCTAGGCCGATGCCTTCTTATCTCACTACAACATTTAGGCTCTCCAGCAACCACTGAAAAACGATGCCAAAACTCTGAAAAACGTTGCCTAAAACAATAGGGGACATTTTCTAGGTGTCTCCTGTGCGAGCGTTGCCTATTGTCTAAGGGGACGTTTTTTCATGATCTTTGGGCACGATTTTTAAAAATGTTGCCTAAATAAAAGGAATAGGGGACGGTTATTTGTGGCCTCTGAGGTGACGCTTTTTAAGTGTTACCACAAAAGGAATAGGGGACGATTATTCATGGCCTCTGAGGCGACGCTTTTTAAGTGTTGCCACAACAAGAATAGGGGACGGTTATTCGTGGCCTCTAATATAACACTTTTCAAGTGTTGCCTAATGCGGTTACAATTAGTAAGTGTCACTACTAGAAAAACTCAGTTTTCCTGCGGATTTTGACAAAATTTTCGCAGTTTAGCAGGTAAAGTCGCAGGAAATAATTGCAGAAAATAGTCGTAAAAAAATGTTGCAATCAAATTACTAATAATAATTTGTCCAACCAAATTAGTAAGAAAAAAATTACAAATTTCAAACTAGTGAAAGTTGTAAGATTATATTTATCATAAGCATATTGGAATTAACAATTACACAATGCAAGAGACAAAAACGATGGAAATATTGATTTCCCTTTTGTTAATTTAATATACAGTTATACAGATGAAAATGCTGACCACTATACTATTGTTGTGGGGAAAAATAAACACTTAATATGTACATGTAAAACATAAATATAGACTCTTTCATCTATTCTATAGATCAGTTTTCATATTATTGTTTATGTGAATTCTCCTCACAATGCAGAAGTAGCTCTTTGTATGGCTCTAGTAACCCACCAGATCTCATGTTGAATTTCTGGTAATCTTTCTTTTTCACTTATGCCGTTTGACCTAGTTGTAGAATCAAAACTCTAACTTCTCAGCGTCATTCAGAGACCCAAACACCTGTAATACATGAGCATTAAACAAAGTGATAAGTAGCAATTGAGTACGTGACTTATAACTTTCATTAGTGTCCAGACTAACTTCTCTATTTTCCAATTCTGGAGTTGCATCAAATTTACACCCTCAGTCTTCAGAGGGATCAGACATTGGGTTGAAACTCTACAATAAAAAGATTAAGTTTTTTCAGGAATTGCTTTCATTACTTTCATATTAAATAAAACAAGAACTTGAATGCAAGAACCTCGAAGTTATCTAGAACAAAAGATTTTTGTTTGACATCACACACAGAGAACTCTTCTTTATCATCAATCACACACATGTCATCATCATCATCATCATCATTTCTTATTCCCCATAATTGATTATTTCCTGAGTCCTCCGGATTTGCTGTTGAGCTGCAAAGTCTACATAATAACAAACATCTATAATCACTACTACTATGATGCAATGAACATAACTTTCTAGTACTTCTTCTCCTACAGATCTCCTAAATATAAGTTTTTTTTCTTCAAATTATTCTTAAATACATTTACTAAAAAAACTCTTAATTAGTATTATAAAATAATGTAAAATGTAAAATTCAAATTAATTAAAAATATGTTTGGAAGTTATTTAGAATATATTTATATATTAAATAGATTCATTAACTACATGGTTTTTTAATTAAAAAAGTTTGAAAAAAAAATAATAAATACTACTACTTAAATATAACTTTATCCTATAATAGAGAAAGTTAAATGTGATAATTAATTAATTAAAAAAATTGTAGTGTAATTTTATAAATTTTACTTAGTAAAGAAAAATATGCATAATGGTGAATATATAAAATAATAAGAAAAAAATGAGTAAAACAAGAAGAACAAGAAAGTTAAGGTAACATACCCTTCTACGAGGAACAACAATCATAGCAGGAGTAACAACATGATTATCATACAAATCTCCAGCAACATAAAGATCTTGGTCTTCGTTCTCAGAGTTGTAACTATAGTGAAGAAAACCACCTTGTCTTGCAGATTCAAAGCACTGTGTGAATGGAAGATTATCATTCCAATCCCAGCTTCCAAATGCTGGCACATGGTTCCTCTTAAAGTGATATTCCTATTATATTTACACCCCCCAGAAAGAAAAAAAAAAACAAGAACATGATTAGAACATGAAGTTAAGGTAACATAAGTATATGTAACATAAAGAATGAACACTCACTTGATCCATTTGTGTGGTTGAGATGAAGGAAGTGTTGAGTGAAAGAATGTATGAGAGGATTGAGGAGAAGGTTTGTTTGTATGATGTTGAGTTTGGTGTGTTGGAGGTGGTTGGGAGCAATATTATAAAGAAGAGAGATAGAATGAGAACGTGTGAGGTGGAAAGAAAAGGATGAGAGAGAGTGTAAAGGGTTGAAAATGAAAGGGTATGGAGACGATGAAAAAGGTATGATGCTTGAGATTATAAAGCACACACTTGCTGCTTTTTGAATTATGCAACAATTTAGTTGTGTAGGCAAAAAGGAAATCAAACTGGCAATAGAAAACCAGACAATGGTTATATGATTATATAATCTATCCTACACGTTTGTGATTTTTCATCACTGCAAATTAGTACCTATATTGAAGGAAGAAACTGTGATTTAGCTGAAAATTCCATGTCAACTCCGGCAAGCTACAATATTCACCCACATCCACATTTGATGAAACAAATGAAGGACACCACAAAGACCAATCACACAAACAACTGACTGAAAAACAAATTCCATGATACTCACACAACCCATTGTACATTGCATTTAAGTTATGCGATATTTGAACAATTGTGATGAACCTTACCTCATCTAAATTGCTTGATAGGTGAACAATAACAAATCCATATACTAACACAATAAAATATAGCCTATGGATGAAAGTCAGAAAATTTGGTTGAAACCAGGCATCAGTCATTCCAGTTCATTGAATAAGATTAAAAATAAGAAACATGAAAAGTGACTAGAACACACTTCCTAAAAGAAAGAAAAACAATTGCAGGACTTACAAACACCCCAATTAGACTTCACAAATCAAACACTTTAAGTTTATGTTTGTCATATTTAGGGCAGAAATTTGTAGACCAGATCTCCAAATACTTTGTTCCTATAGTAAGTCTCAACTACTAATAGAAATTAAAGATCATTGTTGTTCCTTTTTATAAGAGACTAATTGTGTGTTTGAAAACTCGATGAATTGCTAATACCTAAAGTTTAGTTGCCATCTTAGGTGATTTTCTGAAGCTAATAGTAATTTGTCGAACACACGATTCGTAAGAAACAGAAACGAAAAAGGAAAAGAAACTTGGTTGAGACAATTTACCGAACACTTAGTGTGCAAGTTGCAAAACGGTGGAAACAGCAACAATTTGATACCGATTCGTAAACCACAACCTGCAATAACAACAATCATCAACAACAACAATAATTCAACATCATGAAATGAAAGAATTGAAAAAATAGAGAAACTTATGAGTAAGTGAATCTTAAATGAAATGAGATTGAGGGAACGAAATGAATATTGAAATGAAAATGCAACTGGAAAAGGTAAGTGGTGCACCTGTTCTTGGTTAAACCGGAAAATATTGTCGTCGGTTGAGCCCGGGCAACTGCCCTACCTGGCCGGGCGCTGGCTCCGCCTATGGCTACAGCCAATTATAAACTGAAAGTTAATCTCAGGGAAAAGTTGATTATCTCGTGCAAAACAATAACAAAGTAGACTCCAGTAGCTCCACTATTAATCAATAGCAGCACTAAAATGACTACAATGCTCATATGCAGAATCAAAAGAGAAATGCTCATAGAATCACCTGAAGCAGTTCTGATGTTGATAGCCTCAAGATTGGTTCCCTAAAAAATCATTTAGTATGATTAATTATCCTACAAATATTCATTCATTATAAATGGAAAGCAGCAGAAAATCAAAAGGAGCATACTTCTGCAAGCACTTTAGAAGAAAATCTTTTGCTCCAACAGAGAGATGATCAGGGTTATGTGGATGAGACTTAGTTGTCCCTATATGGAAGAGAGCAGCAACCTGAAAGCCCATTATTCTAGTAAATATAAATATTCAGAGATTACCTCAAACAGAATTTAAGGAGTCAAAATGTAAGCTACCTCTTGCTGGTATTGCTGGCTCCAAGGAGGCTTTCCTGTGGCCATCTCAATTACGGTACAACCCACACTCCATATGGAAGCAGAGCTGAAAAGGAAGCATCAGCATATGAAAACATCAATATTTAGTCTTGAAGGCATTTTGAAAATTCCGGCCACTAACTATTTTTCTATATCTCAAGCAAAGGTTTCTATTTTTGGAAAATCCTTGTAACTATAAACAATGATTCACAACTTTTTTTCTTTTACACTTTTTATCTCCTCCACCTTTTCTCGACACTGTATTTTGTTTTTCTCTCTACACACTCATTTACTATTTGTATATAGCATATATCTATTATTTTAACAGAAGTCATCATTGTCAAATTAATATATAACTAAGTCCGTTGTAATGCAACTCCAGATATGCCATGCCAGACTCGCATAGAATGCTCAAACCTTGGAATCACAAAATAATAAGTCTTGGCTACATACCGAATGACATCTTACTAGTAGAAACCTCCCGTTTGTTTCATGTCGAAGTATATTAAATACAGAGCAGCATATCATAAAATATGTGAAGAAGGTTAATGTCCTTACAAGCTATGCCTAGTCTGGAGAATAACTTTGGGAGCCATCCAATATGGAGTACCCTTCATCGACTTGGCACCAGACATGGTAGCCTAGAATAAAACAATGCACCTCTTAAACAAGGATACAAATAAAATATCCTTCACAAAGGTAAAGCGTACGTCGTACATATAGTGCCATAATTGTAGAATGGCAGATAAGAGTATTACCAGCTCAACGACCTGTTTGGATGCTCCAAAATCTGCAAGTTTTATGCATCCTTTATTATCTACAAGAATATTGGCCCCCTAAAATTAATATATACTTGGACATCAGTAGCTGAAAAAGAACCAAGCTTACATGCATATCAATGAGATGATACAGAAAGCAACCTTAATGTCCCTATGCATGATTCCATTTTTGTGCAAGTACTCGAGTCCAAGCAATATCTGCTTCGTATAAGTTCTTATGAGCTGTTGAATGAATTAGTGAAAATAGTTGGCATAAAAAATCACTAAAGTACATTGGTTCAGTAGCTAGAACTTACAGCCTCAGGGAAAGCTCCAAACTTCCTCAACAGTGAAGATATGGATCCACCCGGAATAAACTCGAGGAGAATATTTAAGGTATCTTCTTCTCTGACCGTACCCAAAGAAATTCTGAATGCGCAAGAAAATGCTAAACAACTAAAAAAATCAAACCAGGTCATTAAAGAAACAACAAATGGAAATCTCTAAGTTGAAGGAGATCAAAGAGAAACTTGAATGGGAGTTCTCTGTAAATGCTGAAGAAAGCAACGCCCTCCAGCTTGAAACTCGCCAAATAAAGGATGATATACAGTACTTGAATGAGAGATATCAAGCTATGCTGGAACAACTACAAAATTTAGGTTTGAATCCTAATTCTCTTACAGCATCTGTTAAAAAACTACAAAATGAGAACTCAATGCTAAAAGAGGCCTGCCAAATGAGAGATATCATGTATATTGGAAAAAAATGAGGGATTGGAAAGTTCTCTTATGAGGTCGACGTGTAGAAGACAACAACACCAGCTCTCTTAAAGAAGTAGACATCAATGCCGCCATGACCACTAACTACCTTGATTAGGCTTCCCATGCTGTCGGGACCGCCGTATCCAATCTGCACAAGACCACTAGAAATCATCAGCAACTATTGCTTTTGAAAATTTGAAAGATAATGAGTCATATCATGGTGTTGGCTTACTAAACTTCAATGACTCAAGGTAATGCTTCAAAGTTGTAGCTTAGTAATGGAATTACTGTTACAACACAATCGTTGGTACTGTAGAGAATACTTCTACTAATTGGAACAATTAGTAGAGAAATCAATAAATATTAACATAATATACCTCAAATCTTGGAAAAACTATAAGTCGCAGAGTAAAATCCTGTTAACAAAACGAGCAGTGCGTGACCGTGATAAGCTTGACGACGTCACTTGGAGTCGTTGGGTGTGAGAAGCGCAAGATCAAATTGTGTTATTGATGAAAAGCTGGGCTGTGTCAAGGTTGCTCGTTTCCACTGTTGTCGCCGCAGATGCTGGAACTTATGCGTGAGTTTGAAGAACTATAAGTTGACGTCTCCACGATGGTTTAGAAGGCGTTTGAGGGTAGCCCTTTCTTCGTATTCGTAATGTCGGAGGTTGGCGGCAACGAGATTGGGGTTTTGATTGAGTGAGGAGGATAGATGGTGAGGAGCAAGGGTTATGAGGTGGGGATGGTGACGACGACGGCTGTTAGGGTTTTTTGTTGGGAGAAGAAGAATGGGGATGAATTCAGTGATGGCGAAGGTGAAACAAAGGGAAGGAAAACGAAAGGGAGTTCGCGTGAAGGCGGAGAAAGAAAATTAGGGTGATGATGGTGTAACGATGAAAAACAGAGAGAAGATGATAAGGGGTGGATGAATTTGTTTTTTTTTTGTTTTTTCTATTTTCTATTTTTTATATATTTTTTATTCTAAAACGTGAGATAGAGATTAGTGATTTTTTATATAATTTTTTTATTTATAAATGGTAGAATGTGTTAAATAATAATAAAAATTTAAATATAAAAAATCATTTAAAAATATTTTTCTCTAAATGTGAGATATGTGTTACAAGATATAATAAATATAAAAAATTATCTAACAGAATAATATACTATTGTATTGTTATATTTAACTTTTTTAGTTAATCAGTATTTTTATTTTTATTTAATAAATTTTAAGTTTTTAAATATAATTAATTTATTATAAAAGTTATTCACATGAATAATTATGGTATGTAATATTATAAGATATTTAGCCCTTACAATAAATAAAAATTTTAAATATAAAAAATCATCTAAAAAATATTTTTCTCTAAATGTGAGATATGTGTTAGATGATATAATAAATATAAAAAATTATCTAACATATAATATAACAGTATACTACAATATTATTATATTATGTGTTAGATAATTTTTTATATTTAATTTTTTTTAATAATGTTTAGATGAAAATATTTTTTTAATGGATAATTTTGGAGGGAAGATTGCCACAAAATTTGATGTTGCTAAAATTTTATGCAACATTGAATGAATGTAGCCTTTTATTAGAAGTAATGTAACAATTTAAAAATGTCTCCAAAAGTATCTAAGGGGACAATTATCAAACATTGCTAAAGAAATAGTATAATGACTCTCCAAAATCGTCCCCAAAAGTAGTTAAAGGCACATTTAACAATCGTTGCCAAACAAATAAAAGAGTGACGCTCTAAAAACGTCCCCAAAAATATTTTAGGCAACGATTATCAAGGGTTGCAAATATATTTTTGTCAACAGCCATAAATTGTTGCCTTTACGAATTTTAGGCAACAATTTTTACATGTTACCTAAAAAAGTGTTGCCAGAGACAACAAATGTTGTAGTGATCTTATCATGAATCTTGTAAACTTAGGTTTTCTTGATATATATATATATATATATATATATATATATATATATATATATATATATATATATATATATATATATATATATATATATATATATATATATATATATATATATATTAGCATTGTATAGAGGTTTCTTTATTATAGGTGCTAATATGTATATGTCCAAATATGTATAGGTTCTCTTGTTAGAGGTTTTGTGTATCCCAAATGTTATTATAAGTATTGTAAGCATTGCACATATGGTTTTGTAAACAATGTAAATTTGGTATTTTGTGTTATATTTTGTCTAAAATACAAATGATCTGATTCTGTCACATTA